CCATAATCCTCTGTACTCACTCCCTTAGTGATCTTACTCAGTCTTGCAGTTATAAATTATATAAACATTTTGATGACGTCCAATATCAGAATCTCCTTATCCTCCCCACTGCCACCACCTTTTTCATCATTAGGTATGCCAGGGCAGGAGTGAGCTTCAGGGAGATAACTTTCCCAAGTAAAGCAGAGCTCTGATTTGTTCAAGGGTAAAGGAATAGCTCTCTAAATCTGAATAGACAAACTGCCTCTCCAGAAAACCTATTCTCCTGAAAAGTTCAGTAATTTATTGAGGAGAACATTATTTCTTTGATTTATATAATTATAAAATAGCTACACAGCTATATAATTACTATGTAGCTAATCCTAACATTCCCCAAGAATGTAAAACCCAACTTCCTCTATTGAAGTATGTTGTGGATATTTTGTTTTTTAGATACGAGTATTCAGAATTTTTAATTTTTGTTGTGCTGGGTCTCCGTTGCTGTGCACGGGCTTTCTCTAGCTCTGGCGAGCAGAGGCTACTTCGTCCTGGGGGTACAGGGCTTCTCGTTGCTTCTTTTGCTGTGGAGCGCAGGCTCTCGGAGCATGAGCTTCAGTACTTGCGGTGCAGGGGCCATCAGCTGTAGCTCACGGGCCCTGGAGCGTGCAGGCTTCAGTAATTGTGGTGCATGCACTTAGCTGCTCCGTGGCATGTGGAATCTTCCAGGACCAGGGATCAAACCTGTGTCCCCTGCACTGGAAGGCAAATTCTTATCCACTGTACCACCAGAGAAATCTGTGAATATTCTTTTATTTTTTTCAGTCTTTTAATTTTTTTCTGTTCGCTTACACAAGTGATAATAGTCACTGTTCAAAATAATTGATTTTTCTGATGCACATGTCATTCTTCAGGGGACCTGAAATGTACTGATGCTTTAGCTATGTGTGTATGTATGTGCGTGTGTAGAAAGGTTCTGTGATAGCTTGCTAGGACTACCATAGCAAAGTAACACAGACTGGCTGGTTTAAACAACAGATACTAATTTTCTCACAATCCTAGAACCCAGAAGTCTGAGTTGAGATGTCAGCAGTGCTATTTTCTCCCTGGAGGTCTCTCCCCTGGGCGTGTAGATGGCCCTCTTCTCTCTGTCTTCACACGGTCTTCCCTCTATTCCCATCTGGGTCCTATTTTCTTCCTCTTAAGCAGGTCAGTCACGTTAGATCATGGCCCACCCATTTGACTTCATTTTACCTTAATTCCCTCTTAAAAGAACCTATTTCCAAATACAGTCATATTCTGAGGTGCTGGGGGTTAGAACTTCAACACATGAATTTTGAAGGGAGATCGTTCTTGCCACACTTTCACTTCATTAGTGGCACAAATGTCATGTTCACTTAGAAAACGGGCAAGTGCCAAATAGTGATCTGAGTCACCACCTTGTGTGTGAAAAACTCCAAAATAATGGAATTCAGGGCCCAGCCTGGGGCACCCCTTACCTTCGTTCGCCCTTGTCTGAGGCATCTACCAGTGCCAGCCCAGCAAACGAGTACAGTACCTAGGTTCGCATCTTTCTCTTGACTCAACACAGATGAAAAGATTGAAAAACAGATTAAAAAGTTGCATCAGTAACAAGTCCTGTCCTTTGTAAGTGGTAGTGGAAAAGAAGACAGCACTCTGTACTTGCTAAGACTGACTATTGTGTTTTGTTTTCACATTAATTGTAGATACCAATTTTCTATACAAAATAATTCAGTAAATAATGCACATAAAATCAAGAGACTTTTCAATTTGTGAAAGTAGTCTTTTTCTCTGTTGTTAAGTGGAAAATCTAGAAGAGTTCTATAGCTGGAGACAATAGGCTAAATCAAAAAATAAGAAAATAGTTATGATTTTTAAAACCACTAATTGAAGCTTTAAGTGTCTTCCAGTGTTCTGGTGATTTGGGGCTAAAATCCGCTCTGTTCCTTACTTTCCTTTGTCAGTGGTGTTCACCATGGCAACTTCAATAAAACTCCCCTCACAAATGTTTTTCTTCTAAAGTGCAAAGCACCTTTTTAAAGAAGGTTGACAACCTGGTAGGAATGGGTGTTTGGAAAAGAAATCAAATGAAAAGTATTCTGTTTTTCTTCATGATTGCTGGAGGTGGCAGGAGGTGAGGACATTTTTAAGGGTATAAAGCTGGGTGAAAAATATATTTTACCTTGTTTTGGAATAAAAATTGTTTTTTGAGGTAGAAAATTAGTTTAAAACATGGTAGAGAAACTTGTCCTTTTCATAACATTTCCTTATTTCTCATCTTAGTATTTGGACTAGCTTTGTACACACAAATTCATGAGCCACTTTGCAATGTGGATTTTGTGTGGACAAATTTATCTAATACCTGATCTGTGGCATTGCAGGAGACCCAGGTTCGATCCCTGGGTGGGGAAGATTCCCAGGAGAAGGGAGTGGCTGCCCACTCCAGTATTCTTGCCTGAAGAATTCCATGGACAGAAGAGCCTGGTGGCCTACATTCCATGGGTCACAAAGAGTTGAACACAGCCGAGTGACTAACACCTTCACTTTTTCACTTGATTCAGTGTAAGCTCTTTGGGTCCTGATGGATTTTCTTGGGACTACTTTAGGAAACTTAACTAATGTGGGATTCTGAGCACACCATTAAGTCTCCCAGGGTTCCTTCCAGTCCCTTCCCATAAAATATGGAGGCAGTAGAATACTAGGAGTTCTCAGCCTTAGAATCACATTATAGAAACAAGTGGAGATGTTTCAAAACTGCCAGTGCTAGGGTCTTACCCAGAGATTATCATTTAAGATCTAGGTGACACTTAGATGTCAGTTTTGTTTTAAACAGATTTTTCTTTCCAATTTATTTTTTTGGTTGCACTGGGTCTTCATTGCTGGGAGTGAGTTTTTTCTAGTTGCAATGAGTGGGGGCTACTCTTTGTTGCAATGCACAGGCTTCTCATTGCAGTGGCTTCTTTCGTGGCAGAGCACATGGGTTTCAGTAGTTGTAGCATGCGGGCTCAATAGTTGTGGTACACAAGCTTAGTTGCTCTGTGGCATGTGGAATCTTCCAGTACTAGGAATAGAACCTGTGTCCCCTGCATTGGCAGGCAGATTCTTATCCACTGTACCATCAAGGAAGTTCTTTTTAAGTATCCATTGCAGTTGTCATGTTTATAGCTAGAGTTAAGAATCACTATATTTATTGATCTCAAAGGATCCTTCCAACTCCCATTTCTAAGGCACTTACCTACAAGTTGACTCCAGCCAGGCTTGACTCCAATAGAAGTGCCAATTAAGTACCTTTGCTTTCAAACTGATGTATCTTTTGTTTCAAGGTTCAAGAAAGGCATTAGCTGTTAATACAGTAGCCTAGCATCTTTATTCCTGCTTATCCATTGATAATCCAGAATCAGCCTACAGTCATGTCAATGTTCTGTATAGAAGTAATATCTTCACTTTCAAGACACATTGGTTTTCAAATAATTTTATTGCGTAGAGGTTGATCAAAGGCATTAAGTAGAGTTGGCATTTTTAAAAATTATTTTTGCAAGGCTGTGCTGGGTCTTTGATGTGTATAGGTTCTTCGTGGCCTCTGGTAATTCCAAAATAGAGCTAGGGCTGAGAATTGCTCTAGAATGAAGTTGTGTGAACAAATTGTGTCAAGCAGCCAGCAAGTGATGAAATGCTGAGTGTATTAGCCATTTCCTTGATTAGAAACAGCACCTCCCTTTCCCCTGTGGATAACATTGTCAAAGAGGATTATTTTTCCTTTGCTAAAATTACCACTGTGTGAAAAACCTATTCTTTTAAATGGTCAGTGTTATCAGACTACAACTATTTTCCCTAGTGGCTCAGAGGGTAAAGAGTCTGCCTGCAATGCTGGAGATCTGAGTTCGATCCCTGGGTCAGGAAGATACCCTGGAGAAGGAAATGGCAACCCACTCCAGTATTCTTGCCTGGGAAATCCCATGGACAGATGTCAGACACGACTGAGCAATTTCATCTCTGTTTCTATTGATGATGGCAAATGAAATATTTCCTGAAGTCGAGGAGTAAAATCTAAGCCTGTCTTCTCACAGATCCCTTTGAAGATGATTGAAATAGTAAAAAAAAAAAAAAAGAAGACAGAACACAGAAATTTTTGTAGGAAATGAATTTGTGAGGTTAAATTGCAACTCATAAAAGACTCAAAGGTGTATGCCTTTTAAGTGTCTGGTTTATTGTTTCCTCATAAGTAAAATGCATTTTCCCATTATTCCTCTGTGACTGTATAGATGGTGATAATCACTGAAACCTAAAGAGCCGAGAGCGTCAATACTGCAGGATCAAATGTGTGCTTAATTGTCATTCTGGAGCTTGGTTCTGGTGTGTCCCCAAAGCCTATAAATCATCATCAAACACGAAAATCAAGTAATTAAGCTCTCTGGCCTGAATCTGATCTATACTCTCTACCTTCAGCATAAAAAGATATTCATTCATATGGCTAGTCAAACTCTCTAATAATGAACCTGGATCAGGGAAATTATTTGCTAATGCTTTTACAAACATAGGTAGTAGGGAGCTGATCCCCTCCCAATCACACACGCCAAATCCACTGCTGCTTTTAGTGACTTCTACAGAAAGCTAAAGCTGACATTGTGGGAAAAGGATGATAAAGGTATTAACTTGTTGCTGTTCAATTGCTCAGTCGTGTCCAACTCTTTGCAACCCCATGGACTGTAGCCCACCAGGCTCCTCTGCCCATGGATTTCCCAGGCAAGAATACTGGAGTGGGTTGCCATTTCCTTCTCCAGGGGATCTTCCCAACACAAGGATTGAATCCAGGTCTCTTGCATTGGCAGGTGGGTTCTTTACTACTGAGCCACCAGAGATGTTCAAAAGAGAATTAAAAGAAAAAAATTGTTGCCTTCACAAATTACATCTGAGCTCTTCTTAAGATGACTCCAGAGCATGTTACAAATACAGCAAGTTATGATCAGTTGCCTTTTATCTTCAAAATCACACAAAACAAGCAATTATTTCGAATGCAATAAATGGTTTAATAGTTATGGACTTGAGAAAGAACTTGAATTAAAATTCAGTCTGGGATCTGAATTAGCACCGTTGGAATATAGAAAGCATTCAACATGCATGCACAAATTAGTTTTGATAGCATACGTAAATAAAATGTATTTGTTTTACTTGATAATGGTTGTTTTGGAGGACCCTCCTTGGAGTTGAACTTATCTGTATTAGTTGGCTGGGCATGATACAGGTTGAACACCCCTTAGTTCCAGGGCCTTAGCAAAATTCACCTCCAGTGGCTTTCCCGTGCCTTTGGTAAGCTTCAGGGATCGGATGCAACCTCGGAAAGGAATGTTTGTTGTCAGGCCAAACTGGTTGAGGCCATCTGAAAAACAAAGCAGAGAAAGCTCAATTTTGAAATGCAGCTACTATGATAAGAGTGGAGCTGCCCAGGTGGCACTAGTGGTAAAGAACCTGCCTGCCAATGCAGGAGACACAAAAGACTTGGGTTCAATCCCTGGGTCAGGAAGATTCCCTGGAAGAGGGCATGACAACCCACTCCAGTATTCTTACCTGGAGAAGTCCATGGAGAGAGGAGCCTGGTGGGCTACAGTCCATGGGGTCACAAAGAGCAGGACACAACTAAAGTGACTTAGCACATATTAAGAGCATATACCAGTCAGCTGTTAGCTTAAGGTGCAATGAGAATGTTATGTGCTTTTGTTCTTAGCTTTGCCAACAGTTAAACTGGTAAGAAACATTAACGTTTTCACAGCTATGTATTATGAAATATAGTGTGTTTGCTCAGTCTTGTCTAGCCCGTCAGTCTCCTCTGTCCGTGGAATTTTTCCAGAACACTAGAGTGGGTTGCCGTTTCCTCCTCCAGGGGATATTCCCAATCTAGGGATAGAACTCATGGCAGGTGGGTTCCTTACCACTAGCGCCACCTGGGAATCCCTCGAAATATGGGGACATCTACAATTAATGATGCATTTGAAGACATCAAACAAAAAATTTGGTTTTGAAGGAACAAGTTTACAGGAATGACTTAAAATTATTAAACTTTATTTAATGAACTAAAGTAACTGATGAAATAGTTTAAATATTGAAGTAGGACATGGACTTTTAATAGTGACTTTATTATTTCTATTATAAAAATAAATCCCCAAAGGTTAAGTTGGTTATGAGTGCACACAAAATCTTTCTCTTATCAAGGAGACAGTCCCTTCTTTTAGCAGGGCTTCTAGGTGCTAACTAAAATCCCATTTTGTATACTGTAAATGGAGAAGTATATTATCTCTTTCATAATACTGTGGAGTTTATCCTTACTGAATCAGAAGGAGATATTTCCTTTCTTCCCCTCCAAAAAAAAATTATTATTTTTGGCTATACCACATGACATATGAGATCTTAGTTCCCCAACTGGGCAGGGATCAAACCTGTGCCCTCTGTGATGCAAGTATGGAGTCCTAACCACTGAACTGCCAGAGAAGTCCCAGAAGGTGATATCTTCAAAAAGCCAGGAGCGACTTTGGAAAGAGGAGCTCAGAATTGGTCCCCATGACTTCTGTATCTTTCCTTCATCAACTGCTGCTAAATATACATTTTGGCTGGTTTGTTAAGGAGAGGAGCTCTATATAACTGTAGACAAAGTTTCCTCTTGCCAAAATACTGAAAGACCATTCCAGGAGTCTGTGTTATTACAGTATTTTATTAAGAGGTTCTTGGCTTATTTCTCATCAAGTTGAGCACTATTGTTTATGGGCACTTTAGGTAACTCTGGTTCAAATGTTATATTTAATGTGCTGGAGAGGTAGTTTTGAATGCAGATTTATTGCTTGGGTTTCTTTGTAATATAAACTCTATAATAGCCTAAGGGGCAAATTAGCTATGTTTAACCCAATGATTTCCAGAACTTAAGGAAATAAGTTCCATAACATTTTATGATTCCTCTGGTATATTAATTTTAAAAAAATCAGAACACCGTTTCTGGCCCTGATTGCTGTTAAATGTCTCATATTTTTCATAAGCCAAATTCATTTCCTCTAGCCTCCACTTCCCACAAATGAAAGTTTGGAGGCTATCATGAGAAGTCCAGTCCCATGTGGTTTATATAAGGAAAATGCTCATTTTACATGCTGGAAATGTCAGATAAGGTGTTATTTATTGGAGCAGATTCTAAAGTTGGGATGCAAGTAGACTTAAGCACACATTCTTGGACATACTTATAGAATATAAATGTGTTCAAAACCACTAACGAAATAGAGCAAAGAAATTCTTGCTGGGGTAGGCAACACTTACCGGGGAACCCACCAACAAACACAGGGTCATTTGTATCAGCAGATGTAGATGCTTGATTTGGGCTCTGGGCTTCCACCTGGTTCCCATCGACTGTCAGCTCGATGCGGTGTTTGATCTTGTTGGCTGTGACTTTATGCCACTGTCCATCACACAAATGCCCTGGGATCCCAGCATCATAGATGGCTGTGAATCGACCGGCGCCATTGTCCACATGAAACATGAGCTAGAAAGTAGGACATTGAACAGTCACAGATGGTGTCATTAGAAGGGTATCATGGTGATTCACAAAGTAGAAATGATCCCTAGGAAAGTTATTAGATGCAATAGTTTGACATCAATGTAACTCAGGCATATTAAATTTAAAAAAAAACTTGACAGAAATTAAAATATAGATTTAATGACCAGGAGTCACAAATTATGCTGTTTGCTTGTGGATATTGTTGGGAGCAATAGGAAAGATGTGTGAAGCAGATAATAACTTAGCTTTCTGAAAATGTGAAATACAATTTGAGGGCAGGTAACAAAAAAGACATGGTATACATAGGGGAAAATCCTACCACAGATCTGTTTAGAGGGTGGGAGTTCTTAGGAAGATGATTTATAAATTAATTTGAGGGGATTTTTTTTAAGATTTTCATATTTTAATTGTATATTTTTTCCTTCACAGAATCTATTTTATATACAGGATTGAGAGTTACATAAATTACATTTTGGGGTAAGATCCATGTTGTAGGTACCACTATAACAAGACTTTGAGCTAGAAGGCCAGTTAAATTCCTAACAATTAGGAACTTAGACTGGAGTTCTTGTTTAAATGAGAAAAATCTGTTTTTGGTAACATGGAATGGCCCCTGAAACTTGAGAGGACAGAATTCTTTTGAAGCTGATGTGGAAAAGAAACATACTGAAACATTAAATACAGTCAATTTGGCAAAACATTTGACAAGGTTAAAAAAAAGAAACAAGGGCTTTAAAAACAAGATTAAAAGTGCAAGTAAATAGGTAAAAAGTTTGTCAACTATACAGTGATGTACATCAGTTAAGATTTTACTATATTCGGTGGAATGTGTAATAATGGAATTCTGCATACAAAAAGAGCTTGGTGAGAAATCCATGTGGATTGTGATGGAACCTGATACTCTGATGAGCTGAAGGGAACCATGGTTCTATAATAAGCAGGTGAAGAAGTAAGACTTACTCCAACAAGATGCAGTGAAACTGTGTTTTGAAAATCTGGCCAAGCTATTACGTGTTGCTTATTTTCTCCACCTTTTGTCTCTGTGCCCTGCATCCTTTTGCTTTACTGCCTTGAGGATGGTTTCAAGACTGAGAGGAAGGAGGGAAGAGGCAAAGAAAAGCATATTTCAGAGAAATATGTGTTTTTTCTTCTTGGGAAGGGATGGCACCCTACGAATGGAAATGTGAACGTAGATGAAGTATGATTCCTGCTGAGGAATCAAATAGGAAAGTCGTGAAATTTCTTACTTTGCCGCCCTTTTTTCACCTATGCACCATAGCACAAAGTACATGTAAACTTGTCATCTCACTGCAGGTTGCTGGTCACAGGCAGTCAGGGAAAGAAAAGGTGTTTAGCATTAGATTATCCATGGTGAGCAAACTGACACAAACTGTGGAAAACTCCTAAAAGACAGGAATACCATACCATCTTACCTGCCTCCTGAATCTTTCACTGACTAAGTTAAAACCTTTGACTATGTGGATCATAAGAAATTGTGGAAAACTGCTAAAGAGATGGGAATATCAGACCATCTTACCTGTCTCCGGAGAAACCTGTATGTGGGTCAAGAATCAGTTAGAAACTTGTATGGAACAACTGACTGGTTCTAGATTGAGAAAGGGGTATGACAAGACTGTTTATTGTCACCCTATTTAACTTATACACAGAACATATCTTGAGAAATGCCAGGCTGGGTGAGTTACAAGCTGGAGTCAAGATTGCCAGGAGAAATTTCAACAAACCCAGATATGCAGATGATACCATGCTAATGGCAGAAAGGGAAGAGGAATTAAAGAGCCTCTTGATGGTGAAGAAGAGTGGAAAAGCCAGCTTAAAACTAGGTATTAAAATAAAAAAAAACCAAAACCAACTAAGATCATGGCATCTGGTCCCATCACTTCATAGCAAATAGAAGAGGAAAAGGTAGAAGCAGTGGCAGATTTCCTCTTCTTGGCAGGAAAGCTATGACAGACCTAGACAGTGTGTTAAAAAGCCAAGACATCACTTTGCTGACAAAGGTCTGTATAGTTAAGGCTATGTTCTTTCCAGTAGAATGTTCTTTTCCATACACATTCATGTATGAATGAGAGAGCTGGACCATAAAGGCGGAGCACCAATTGATGCTTTTGAACTGTGGTGTTGGAGAAGACTCCTGAGAGTCCCTTGGACTGCAAGGAGAACAAACCAGTCAATCTTACAGGAAATCAACCTTGAATATTCACTGGAAGAACTGATGCTGAAGCGCCAATACTTTGGCCACCTGATGCGAGTAGCTCAGGAAGAGACCCTGATGCTGGGAAAGACTGCAGGCAGGAGAGGAGGGTGACAGAGGATGAGATGGTGGTGGTAGCATCACCAATGCAATGGACATGAACTTGAGCAAACTCTGAGAGATTGTGAGGGACAGGGAATCCTGGTGTGTTGCAGTCCATGGGGTCATGAAGACACAACTTTGTGACTGAACAACCACAACACAGAAGAAGTATGTTGAAAACACAGAACACTTGAGATACTCCAGAACGACGAAAAGAATAAAATTAACCTTCTCTCAACAAAGAACAGAGCAATGCTTCAAAACAGAGCTTTCTACTTGTAAACAACAATACCATGAAGAGGCAGAAATATGCAGACGTGATGCTCACCTTTTCATCAATCATTTCAATACCCATTCCATCCATTTTTTGGCTGCTGATTCCCAGAAGAACTCCAGTGGTTCTAGTTGTGCGGAATTCAAATTCTACAAGAAGGTCCAATCCCACTTTGAATCCATCAACTGTAAAATGAAGATTAAAAGAAATGTGTATTCAAGTTTAGGAATTGTTAATTCAAATTCATACAGGGCATTGGTTTTACTAGCTTTCAATTCATGTGTTAGACAATCATAAGTTCTAGACTTTCACATAGCTGACACCTCATAGTTGTTTTCTTGGCTGCCTTCCTTCCTAGACTATAAATTCTGTGAGGGCAAGGACTTTGTCTATAATACTTACCATTTTATTCCTAAGCTTATAGTATCTGGCGCAGAGTGGAGGTTTAACATGCATTTGTTGAATCAGTGAATGAATGTACACTCAAATTGACTCCGAAGATCTCAGAGCCAGGTGTGACTGGTAGAAGTCTTGCTATTGGATGGAATCAAGCATTTCAGTGATTTTTCACTAAAGTTTTACTGCTACTGCTAAGTCACTTCAGTCGTGTCCAACTCTGTGCGACCCCATAGATGGCAGCCCACCAGGCTCCCCCGTCCCTGGGATTCTCCAGGCAAGAGTACTGGAGTGGGGTGCCATTGCCTTCTCTGAAAGTTTTGCTACAGCACTCTACATGGTTCCACAATGATCTGAAAAGGCTCAAATATCCCCAAACATTTTATTTATAAAGAAAGCAATTGCAATTTTTTTTTTAAGTTTTTCTTCATTCTTATCAACATTTAGTACTGTCAGTCTTTTTTAATTTAGCCATTCCAGTGGGTCAGTTTAGTGCTATCTCATTTCTTTGTGTGTGTGTGTGTGTGTGTATGTGTGTGTGCAATAAAGTTTTATTAAAGTATAAAGGAGATAGAGAAAGCTTCTGACATAGACATCAGAAGTGGGTAGAAACCAGGCTCCCCCGTCCCTGGGATTCTCCAGGCAAGAGTACTGGAGTGGGTTGCCATTGCCTTCTCCGAAAGTTTTGCTACAGCACTCTAAATGGTTCCACAACGATCTGAAAAGGCTCAAATATCCCCAAACATTTTATTTATAAAGAAAGCAATTGCAATTTTTTTTTTTTTTTAGTTTTTCTTCATTCTTATCAACATTTAGTACTGTCAGTCTCTTTTTAATTTAGCCATTCCAGTGGGTCAGTTTAGTGCTATCTCATTTCTTTGTGTGTGTGTGTGTATGTGTGTGTGCAATAAAGTTTTATTAAAGTATAAAGGAGATAGAGAAAGCTTCTGACATAGACATCAGAAGTGGGTAGAAAGAGTACCCCGGCAATTGCAATTTTGAAGGAGAAGATTCTGGGACATAAATAGGCTTTTCTAGTTTATCAAGTTAAGCCTTTTCTCTATAATATTCCATATTTGATTCATTGGTTTATTTCATCTTTTAGCAAGTATTTTAAGACATGCTTCTTAGAAACAAAGTGATTCATTAAGATCAGGCTAGACTCTATCACCTGCACGAAATATTAGGGAGAAACTCATGAAATTTTTTTCCAGGTCTCATATTTATTAAGCAAAAAATAAAGGCTATGTGTAAGCACAGTTATCTTCAGTGAAGGGAGGCACCTGTTATATGAAATACTTTTTTTTCCTACTGAGAAACTTGATGGATTTGGATGAATAAAAGTGGATTCAGCGCAGATTTTGAGAATGAAAGGTAGAAGAAGCCGAACTGTCCTGAAAAAGAGAACAATTTTGTTTCTGCTCCAGAAAAGAAGAAATAAGGGAACGAGAAGAGTGACGTGAAGCAGCTCAGCAGAGGACAGGGGGAGCGAGGAAGCCATGGAACCCCCAGACACTGGCAGCTGGGGAGCTTCTAAGGACAAAGATGTCAGGGGTTTAAATTAAACTTGTATGCTTTCCAGTGATGTAACCTCCTCTGACCACCCAAGTCTTATATAGCTTTTATTACACTACATGTTGAGGTGATGGCAGGAGTTATTAGAAACTAGGGATGTCGCACATTTTCCAGTCCAGTCTGATCTGGAACCCAAAGAGCCCACACAAGAAGGCAAGTCAATCTGTGGATATTAACTGCAGAGGCTGAAGCTGGATCTAATCTGACCAAGCTAAGGCCAGATATCTGAATTTGCAGAAAACTTGAGAAAAGCTTTGGGCTTTCACAGAACATGGACCTTGGGGTTTAACATAACCCCCAACATTTCAATATTTAACTCATTCTGTGTTTCTCTGTTTTCTGCTCTGCAGAGGGGAGGTTTCCCACTTATTGGAGAGCTCTGCTCTTCTATCTCCAACCTTTGCATGTATCTTCAACTCATCTTTTAAACCCAAACTCAAATGTCAATTCCTCCATAAAACCTTTCCTGATTTTCTCAACCTAACTTAATCATTTTTTAAAATAGCCCCAGAACCTTGCTTGTATGTCTTCTACAGTTTCCATTTTTACTTGTTTTCTTATGATTTCTGAGCATGAAGAATCTTAATCATATATTCTTGAAAGAAGAAATGACATCTTAATTATTTCTGTTCCCATGTAACTACTACATATTATGTACTCAATTTTTTTTTCTAAAGCCAGATATCTGAATTTGCAGAAAAGTTGAGAAAAGCTTTGGGCTTTCACAGAACATGGAACTTGGGGTTTAACATAACCCCCAACATTTCAATATTTAACTCACTCTGTGTTTCTGTTTTCTGCTCTGCAGAGGGGAGGTTTCCCACTTATTGGAGAGCTCTGTTCTTCTATCTCCAACCTTTGCATGTATCTTCAACTCATCTTTTAAACCCAAACTCAAATGTCAGTTCCTCCATAAAACCTTTCCTGATTTTCTCAACCTAACTTAATCATTTTTAAAAATAGCCCCAGAACCTTGCTTGTATGTCTTCTACAGTTTCCAGTTTTTTTTTTTTAACTTATTTTCTTATGATTTCTGAGCATGAAGAATCTTAATCATATATTCTTGAAAGAAGAAATGACATCTTAATTATTTCTGTTCCCATGTAACTACTACATATTATGTACTGAATTTTTTTTTCTAACAAACAAATGCATGTTCCTATGGTAACTATAGGACTGAATGTATCTCAAAGTATGTTAATATCAGATTTTTTTGTTATTATGTAGAAGTTATTTCATATTTTTCTTTCCAAATTGTATATTCACTGTCAGTGATCCAAATATGGATTAGAAATGCTCACTGAAAAGAGGGAGATTCTAAGAGAAAGGGAAAGGTTTCTTTCCCTGTGTGTAAGGGGAGAACAAGAAATGGAACCATGCAAGGAACTGAAAAGAGAAAGAAAGAAAAATACTATCTCATCTCCAGAAAGAAAGGCAGATGGGGAAAACTGAAAAGTAGATACATTATACAATAGAAACATATGACCCTTCTTGTAAAATTACATTTTTTTTTTTGCTATTATTGATTTCCAGGGAAAGAGACAGAATAAACTCTCCAAATAGCCTTTTACTTTATTTCTTCTGTTAGTTTTTGTTAGAATCAGATGCATTAATCTTTAAGAGGCATTTAAAAAAATTACTCCTACAAGTTTTTATTTCTGGTTTAAATAAAGGATGCTAGTTTAGGAACCCAGGGACTTTTATCTTCCCATACAAACCAGAAGTCAATATTTGCACCTAGTTAATATTCAACAGGAAGGAGATGGAAGCACCTCACCTGCTTTGGCAAAACCTGTTCCATCAAAATATGTTCCTTTCTGAGCATTTGCAAAACATGTTCCGACTTGGTAGCTGGAGGTTGGCTGTTCAAGATCCACAGGCGCTTCCACCATGTGAAGATTTCTAACACAGCCGTCAATGCTGTAGGTCACCTAAACGTTCAGGTCAGAAGAGACACATGCCAGGGTTTAGGAGAAGTCTGCCTTTATGTGGAATGCAATCACTGGTAGGGTGCTCTGTGTTAGCAATCTTCAGCTGATTGGCCTGAGGCATCCCCAGACTCCCTGGATCAGCCCTGTCCCCTTCAGGGCAGGGCTGCAGGAATCCCATATCTTGCTTCTCCACCAGGCTGCATCTAGCTGGGGAGCATGACTGCTTTGATATTCTAAAATACTGCACACTATATCTCTAGTGGGACCCCTGGTTTGATAAAGCTCTGGGCCCCCTCTGGATATTGTAACTTGTAATTAGTATGTTTCTATTTAATGTTTTGAGTGACAGTTTATTAACCTTACTATATATACTTTTTTGTTTTTCATAATCTGTGTTCAAATTCTACTTGAAAAGATAATTAGGTTTGGATCAGTGCTTCTTCCTTGTGAAAATCTAATGAAAACAGTGGACACTTTCCTAAGAAAATGCACATATACATGAAACTTGAAAGCTTGCATGAAATGTTCAAAGTTTAGGGACTTAGAAATAAATCAGTCATCCTCTGCTTCATTATAGTTTATTTGGGTTAAGGGAGGCAAGTTAATTACTCTTGCCACTCTCATTCAGAAGAGAGTGTTCAGAAAATCTCATTTTGATTAGCCTGGGTATCATAGCCAGTAGCTATGAAAGGAAAGGAATACTGATCATCCACAAGAGGAGTTAAACACTGAGAATTGTAACCATCATGAACAACTGTCTTTGATGAAGAACAATCACACATCATCACATGTTCTAATCTGAGCAAAGAAATGAACCACACGTGCGTATAGCACATTTTTTAAAAACACTAATCCCTTTTTTAAAGAAAATAATGCTTTCCAAAGCAAACCAGGATATGTGGTCTGGCAAAAAATTATTGTGAATATTGATTTACAAAATTGAGAACTTTAAATTCCGAACCCAGTATTGAACAAGATAGATACAGCATCTCTCAGTATTTGCTAAATCTCTATTCCTGAAAGAGTACCATCAATATCATCATTATCATCTCTTTTGTTGTCTTAGTACCTTCTAGACACTTGGTATTCTTCTGAGCACTTTTAATATACTATCTCATTTAATCTTTCCAGCGACCTTGTTTGTTTGGTATTATTATTATACTATTTTACATAAAAAGGGACTTTGTCAAAGAAAAATTAAGTAACTTGCTCAAGAGCACACAGCTACTTAACAGTTAAGCATGTAATCAAACCGAGGGAGTCTGGCTCCAGGGTCCACACTGTTTTTTAATACTGTCTCTCAAAGATCTATCTAGAAAAATTGTCACTTTTCAGGAAAGATGACTTTCTATTCATCTATTTGAGTCAATGTGATCTAATAATTCAAAATTCATTCATGACTCAGGCATCTATTTAGGCAACAAAGGAAACAAATTAGATACTTACTGGACCAATTCTTCGAGTAGTATAGTTAATGGGTAGCCCACCAACATACAGCATTCCCACAACATCCAGAATATCAGCTTTCTTAGGACTGATGGTTCTGTTGGAGGCATCATCTACATAAATAGCTCCTTCTTGCTTAACTCGCATAATCTTAATCTACCAAAAGAAGAGGAGTCATTAATTTCAATCACAGATAATTTCAGATATGCAGAGTATAAGACATAAAAACTTTCAGGGCATTCCTTAGGAAAAAATGAAGTAATTTACTGAGTGCCTAATATGTGCTAAACCCATAATAATAAGTGAAATTAAGAATATCTCAAAGTCTGTGTTGTCCATTAGTACCATCTCCAAAAGAGTACACAGTCTTTCTGGGTGGGTTTTGGATTGCAGACCCTTCCACAGTTGCTGGGTGAGCACATGCATCCAGAGGTATGCTGCTTGTAAGGAAACTTGCCCCTGGAGAATCCTGTCAAGAATTAAGTGGGCTGCAAAATTCATGTCCAATTTCAAAAGTGCATTAGTTTGATTGAGCAAAGCCTGGTCTCCCCAGCACAATTTCAGATATGCTACATCCCTCTGCTTAATAGGCACTTCTTGCGCAGAACTGGAGGATGGGCAGTGTGTCCAGGTTGCACTGATGCTTCTGCAGCCGCTGATTAGTACAAAGTCGGGAGAAAGATGGAAAGCTGACTGGGGCTGAAATTATAGCAGTGGAGTGACTTATCTTCTGGGGCAGAGTGAAGCAAATGGTGTGAAGACTAGCTTGAGCATAAAATCCCTGAGTCTGAATTTAGGAAAAGGAGTATGTAACCCTGTGAGATGCTGGAGGACAACAATGGTTTAAAAACAAATCTACATCAGGATTAGAGTAATTGGAGACCTTATTTTACACTTATCTATGCTGGCTTCGGAAATGATTTTTAAAAAACCCTCTAGGATAAAACCCCTCCTTCATTTGGTTACTTAGAGTATTTAACCTATCTTTCTTAATCCCAGCCTCATTGTGGCCTGACAATATGTCTCTTTCTCAAGTATCATATGTATTATCCTATTAGCCAGAGATTAAAATAAACTGTAATAGAGCTCCTGCATAAAATATTTGCTAGTCATAAGCTCCCTAGAAAATTTATTATTTCTAGATAACACATTAGTTGACTTTGAGTTTATATCATTTTTTTTTCAGGTTCCTTGGCTTTCCATATGATATGACAAGTTCAAGTATGTTAATATGTAAAATCCAATAGCTAATAATATCTTACTCTAAAATTTTAATTGGTCCACCTAGGGAAGCTTTACTTAATAGGCTACAACAGGTGCAGAGACAAATTCTGAGTGAATTTTGTTTTAATCAGGCAGTATATTATCTACTTGCAGTCATGCCAAAGAGGACAGTAAGCTAGCAAATGAGCCTTCTGTGCCCATAACAGTACCAGCTTCTGGGTGTAAGGCCAACATTTAAAAAGTTGTTCCAAATGACTGTTGGTGGAAATGGTGCCCTAGAGGACTTTAAACGCGGTGTGGTGGATTCTCAACTCTCAGTGCGCCCAGACCTCCTTAAAGCGGGAGAAGGGAGCTTTAAGGCTCATTTTAGCGTTGCCAGCTTTTGAGTTGGTCAAATATTATTTCATAAAAGAGAGGCCATTTTAGCCCCTTAAAAATGGGAAAATAGAATTTCAGAATAAATATTATTCCTTTACATTGAATACATAGAGCTTCATGATCAACACATTCCATTGTCCCATAATAATACTTGCACGCATGCCTGCTCAGTCCTATCTGACTCTTTGTGACCCCATGGACTGCAGCCCACCAGGCTCCTCTGTCATAGAATTTTCCAGGCAAGAATACTGGACTGGGTTGCCATTTCCTTCTCTAAGTGCTAAACCTTAGCGTACTGGGGATGTCTTCAATTGCCTGGCCCTCGTTTGTGAACAGATGTTTGGGAACCACAGCTATATAGCAATGATGGAATCTTGTGGTACCATGATGAGGCATGTAAGTGTTCCACTATAAACCTATCCAGGCCTGACCCCATTTTCCTAGGTTGGGCAGTTGTATATGGCACTTGCTTTATTTTTAGCCCCTGCCACATTTCAGTAGCACCAGAGTCAGGGTCTGCACGCTGATGGCTGCCCCCAGCAGCCCCGCTGTCCGGCTGGCATCCTGGGACCATTACCTTGTGCCACCGGCCATCATTGATTTTGGTGGGGATCATAGTGCTGGTGTTGCCACTGCCCAAGTCATAGCTGAAGTAGGGCAATCCATGTCTCAGCTGAACTGTAGCAAAATCAGCGTGGTTGATGCGAGCCATGTAGAAGAGCAAGCCTGATTCAGCTTCAGTTCGCACTTCGAATTCAATGGTGAGACTGTGACATAAAAGTATGCAAAATAAAACAGGAATGAGAGCGTTCTTACTCTAGCATAGGGTGTCATCGGATCATGCTGCCTTTTCATTAAAGGATGCACACATGCTTAGTTGCTCAGTCGTGTCCGACTCTTTACAACTCCATGGACTGTAGTCCACCAGGCTTCTCTGTCCACGGAATTCTCCAGGCAAGAATACTGGAGTGGGTAGCCTTTCCCTTCTCCAGGGGATTTTTCCAATTCGGGGATCAAACCCTAGTCTCCTGCATTGCAGGAAGATTCTTTACCAGCTGAGTCACCAGGGAAGTTATTTCATAAAACATAGCAAAACCTTTTCAGAGGTGAGGACTTTCCAGGTCTGCTGAGTTTCTAAACTGGGCTTCTCGGGCTCAGATAAATATATTTCTATTCTTTACTGTACTCAGTGAATTAAAAAAATCTCACCTCATATATTACTAAATCTAGTTAATTAAACTTGAATAAGCAAATGCTTAGTACTCCCATTTATCAGTTCTTATCTAGTATCTCAGAATAAATCATACCGGTTTTTAACTTTGGTGTCATCGAATGCAATTGCAATGTGACTGTTTCTCGAAAGCCCAAACTGTTTGCTCCCTATCAGGAGAGCTGGTTCTGATTCTGCTGCACAAGGACCCTGTAAAATACCAAGGAGAGAAGAAGCAGAGATTATGGACTATACTCTTTAAAATGTAATGTTGCTGTCTAATGGTTTCTTATATTTCAGTTTCATGTTCTCACATAATCTCGTTTAAGTTTCTTAGAGATAAAAGTGGTCTCTGATTCATCTCTGGAATCTACTGCATAGGAGGTACTTACTATTAAATGTTCCATAACTGTGAATCCATTTTCTTATACTGTACCCTTGAGTTGCCAAAGGAATGTGCTCAAAAATATGCATTGATTAATTCATGTTTCCACCATCCTTTAAAGTGTTAGTCACTCAGTTGTGTCCAACTCTCTGTGACCCCATGGACTGTAGCCTGCCAGGCTAATCTGTCCATGGAATTCATGGAATTATCCAGGCAAGAATATTGGAGTGGGTTGCCATTTCTTTCTCCTTTAAGGAAAACTATTATTTATACTTCTAAGAAAACTGGAATTTCCTTCTCACTTCTATTTCACTGATGAAGAGTTATCTGCTTAGAAGATTGAACAGGCAAAGTGACAAGCTAGCTGCTGCCGGGTTATAAGAGTGGAAAAATATGTTCTTTCTTCCCCTCCCCGTTTCTGTCTCCCACTGTCTTACTTTTTCTTGAAAATTATCAGTGCTAGAAGATTTCTGTGAATTTAGACTTTCAAGTTGGTGTTTCTCAACTTGCAAGTCAGCCATTCAGGCCCTTAGCCTGTTGCTAGGCAACACAGCACAGTTTTTAATGTAACCCACCATATACCATTTCAACTGCCACTGTTCAAAGATGAGCTTCCTAGGGTGCTTACAAGGGAGATCTCGCTGCAGGGCTAGCTTCAGAGGCAGGCTACCTGTGCAGTCACTGAGCTTAATGCCCTGCTCTCACCATTTTGAAATTCTTAATAATTTTTGAACAAGGTGCCTAGCATTTTCGCTGGGCTCTGGGCTGTGCCAACTATATAGCTGGACCTGGCTGGGTGGACCTTACTTGGCAACAATAGCCCTCAGCTCAGTAGATAATCAAGGCTTCTCAAGTTACCAAAACCATCTTTCCCTGGTCTCTACTTTGACAAAATAATTCCAAGTACAAGCTGCTTAAGAAATCTTTTAGAACACGAAGTACATGAGAAAATAAATCATCTGCATGCTCCCAACAGTACATCTGTTTTTAGAGATCTGCACTTAATAGCACTGGACGGGCCACTGCCCCAGTGCGTGCTGAGCCCAAGGTGGGCTCTGGATACAGAAATCTCTCCCCAGAGACTGTACCTTGGAGATGACTCATCAGTGCACAGGAAATCTTTCCTTGATAAGGAAAAGCCTTGCCCTCTTTTCTCTAGAGCTTAGTAAAATGCAGCACTCTGCTACAGCAGGTAAAAGGCTTTAAGTGTTTTGAAATGCTGTAAAATTGGCCTTTATGGAAGTATTTCCCCGACCTAGCTTCCCAGGAGATGGTCAGTCACAAAGAACAGACTGTGGCTCAAATTCACACAGATATGCAAAAACTCAGCGGGTAGAACAGAAAAATGCTATCTATTCATGCAGCTCTGACTGGGCCTCTCTTGGAATCAACACATGGCACCTTTCTTATTACACTGCCTGCAAAAAAGAGCCCACATGGAAAGATCTTGGAAGCTTAATGTCTCAGCCTTCAATAATGCTCTTAATAGAACTGGATCATTTATCAGCCTCTCAATATTTTCTGTAGAGATCACCATCACAACACACGTAAGTAGCCTGAAGTCCTCCTCAGAAGTCTTGAAGAGAATCTGACCTGCTGGGAGCCCATCAACGGGCAGAATTTAGCTAAAACATCTCTAAACCCTCAACTCGGAAAACTGAGGTCTTGAAAAAGTCACTTTATGTGGAGGAATTAGGGAACTATAACGTATAGCTCTAAGGGCTTCCCTCATAGCTCAGTTGGTAAAGAATCCGCCTGCAATGAGGAGACCCTGGTTCGATCCCTGGGTCGGGAAGGTCCCCTAGTGAAGGGATAGGCTACCCACTCCAGTTCTTAGGCTCCCCTTGTGGTTCAGCTGGCAAAGAATCCGCCTGCAATGCGGGAGACCTACGTTTGATCCCTGGGTTGGGAAGATCCCCTGGAGAAGGGAACAGCTACCCACTCCAGTATTCTGGCCTGAAGAATCCCATGGACTGTATAGTTCATGGGGTCACAGAGTCAGACAGGACTGAGCGACTTTCACTTTCAACTTCCAATGCGAAGCCTTAAAAGGGAACCACCAGCAGGTAATTTCCCTTACTGTTAACATCGTCTAGTGGCTGCATGTATATGTTAATATAAAATGACTTTTCTAATGCAGTTTTTTAAATGATCAAAGTGGCAACTGTAAAGATTAGATCTTTTATTGGTGGCAGCTATGTGTGGTCAAGAGCTTTTGTCTTGACATGTTCTGAGCACCATTGCTGGAATACCATGTAACCTTGTTGACTGCTACATGGGACACGATTTTGACACTGGTCTTAATCTAAACAGCTCTGTTACATGTTGCCAGATTTTCTAGATGAAAAAGGCCTTTCTTACATTATTTTACCTTTGACTTTGTTTTTTTGTTTTTACAGAAAAACCTTTGACTTTGTAAGAGCCCTGTTAAGAAGGGTTACATGATACACCCACTTGAAAATTAGAAAGAACAGTATTACTTGAAGAGGCTCCTGCTTCACTTTTGCAACAGGTGGATCCTGAGAAGCAGGTGGAAACAGTGGCTAGTAAAACAGTGTTCTTGACTGGTAAGTTTTATAGAAGACATTGATAGCAAATGCATTACTGTCTTGTTGCTGTTGTTTCATCGCAAAGTTGTATCTGTCTTTTTTGTGACCCCTCTAGGCGCCTCTGTCCATGGGATTTCCCAGGCAAGAATACTGGAGTGGGTAGCCACTTCCTTCTCCAGGGGATCTTCTCAGCCCAGGGACTGAACCTGCATTTCTGCAACCTTTGACTTTGTAAGAGCCCTGTTAAGAAGGGTTACATGATACACCCACTTGAAAATTAGAAAGAACAGTATTACTTGAAGAGGCTCCTGCTTCACTTTTGCAACAGGTGGATCCTGAGAAGCAGGTGGAAACAGTGGCTAGTAAAACAGTGTTCTTGACTGGTAAGTTTTATAGAAGACATTGATAGCAAATGCATCACTCTCTTGTTGCTGTTGTTTCATCGCGAAGTTGTGTCTGTCTCTTTTGCGACCCCTCTAGGCGCCTCTGTCCATGGGATTTCCCAGGCAAGAATACTGGAGTGGGTAGCCACTTCCTTCTCCAGGGGATCTTCTCAGCCCAGGGACTGAACCTGCATTTCTGCACTGGCACGTGGGTTCTTTACCCCTGAGCCACCAGGGCAGTCCATCACTCTGTTTGGTAAACTCAAAGTAGAAAGCCAGTATATAAGTTCATTGTTCTTTAAGGATAGCCCAGTTGATGTTTACTATCATCAATTTGCAATGGGATGGATATGGAAACAGCTTAAACAAACTATCACGTTCTTTTATAAAATTGGTAGTTGAAAGAGGACAGAGAAGTGCCAGTATAAGAGAATTCTCTGTGTCTCTGCTTCAGGATTTAAACCAGAAGACAATTCTCCAACAGTCTCTAGTCTGGTAATGTTTCTGCTGCAAGCCTCAACGCCTCCGCTCTCTTGGTTAAAGGGAGATGGGATGGACTGTGTCTAAACGGCTTTCCTGTGGGAAGATCTGAACCCAGGCCTGATATTCCCAGAAGGTTACCTGTCGTATCTCCTCCTCCTCCTCCCTCAAACCCCTCGGAGGGTAGAGTGCTCACTTGGCCACGCGAGCAACTCTTTTCTTTCTAATCACATTTTGAAGAGGGACCTTGTGAGATGGGATAGAGAGTGCCCCAAGGTTTGCACACGAGTAAAATGACTTTGTCATTGAAGACATTTTCAACCCTGCTTCCCAAAGAAATTTAAGCTAAGGGCCTTCTAGTGAGAAAATTTTAAGTAACCTTTAAAGAATAGTTGTTGCAAGATGAACTGGCTTCCTTCAAGCCAGTGGGAACTCGAGGGGAGGCATCATCTTTATGGACGTGACTTGTGTTATTTTGGAAACACTGATCTCTGAAATGTGTTAATAATACAAACATCAGGGGATCATCAATCTCAGCATGTTACAATCCTGCCACCTTGTGGGGACTCTTTAAAGTACATATGGGGAAAATGTGAAGGGACAGGATGTGCTTGCTCCGTGTACATCTCTGCGTGGCAGGTGACAAGATGTAGGCAGACAGGACTTGGGTGGGGAGTCTAAACATGGCCACGCACCTGTTGGTGGGAGCAGCGATGCGGCTGGAGTGGATTCTGAAGGAAGCTGTGCTTCCCATAGCCACATGTAGGCAACTGGATAGTGCCTCGGATTGGCAATGGACTTCACATTTTCACCTTCATCCTGTCACTCAACTAATTTCAGACCAGAATAAAGCAGGGGTCACTTCCAACTGCTGACTGTTGGGTGACATTTGGAAATGAGTTATTGGATTCAGAATGACATAGGATTGGTGGATAAGCATTGCTTGACTTTAGATTGGTGCAGAGTAGAGACTTTAATTGTATTGACCAAAACTGGCATCTCTGTTCTTCAAAGCACCAAATGATGAATGATTTAAAACCTGCATAATTGAAGTGTAATCTGCAAAAATACTGATTCACTATGCTGTATACCTGAAAATGACGTAATATTGTAAATTAACTATACTTTAATAAAAATTAATTCAAAAAGTAGCATCATTTTCTTATTTCATGAGTCAAAAATTCTAAACAAATGAGGGCTACAATGACTTCTTCAAAGTCGGATGCGTCTTTGTGATGCTCTTCTTTTGGCATGAATACTAAGCAGAAGATAATTTTTACAGTACAGACTTTAATATTCTGAAATACAAAACCACTGTTCAAGTTGTTTACTGAGAAACTGAGTTATGTTAACTCTCTGAATATAAGCTCTTTTGGTAAACAGTGGGCATTTGCAGTTCCATCTACACACTAA